GGTTAGGTCTCTTGTGGTGAATAATCTTGGATGAAATATGATTTTACCAATCAAAATAATATGGAGTTTGTAATAGTGGTGTAATGAATTTGTGTGTTTATCGATGAATCTAAAATTTGGTTGGTACAGAAAGGGCTTGCACCGTACTTCGGGTGCATTGTTGGTCGTGTGGCAAATCGGATCAAGGAAGGAAAGTTTAGTCTGAATGGAGTCGGCTACACTCTGCCTATCAACAAGCCTCCGAATAGTCTCCATGGTATATAACAATTCTTTCTGTTGTATGATTCTATAACTTTCCGCAAACTTGAAGTCGGATTTAAAACATCAATGTTACTATATGCAGGTGGTAACAAGGGTTTCGATAAGAAGATATGGGAAGTTGCAGGGCACAAGAAAGACGGCGATAAACCTTTCATCGCTTTCAAATATCACAGCGCCGATGGAGAGGAAGGTCACTACATCTCTCTTGTCTAGCATTTACTTTCTTTGTTAATTTAGTTTGATTAGCTATATAATGTGTACGGTCCTCTTCACAGGTTATCCGGGTGCAGTTTCTGTCACGGCTACATACACTCTCACGTCAGCTACGACGATGAGACTCGACATGGAAGCTGTTCCGGAAAACAGAGACACTCCAATCAGCTTAGCTCAGCATACTTACTGGAACTTAGCGGGTCATGACTCGGGAAACATTCTCGACCACAAGATCCAGATTTGGGGTTCTCATATCACGCCGGTGGACCAATACACAGTTCCTACAGGGGAGATCTTGCCGGTAAAGGGAACTCCTTTCGATTTCACCGAGGAGAAACGGATAGGCGAGTCTATAGGAGAGGTGGGTCTCGGATATGATCACAACTACATGTTGGACTGTCCTGATCAAGAGAAGGATGGGCTGAAACACGCAGCGAAGCTCAGCGACGGTGCGAGCGCAAGGGTACTGAACTTATGGACCAATGTCCCTGGGATGCAGTTTTATACCGGGAACTATGTGAACGGAGTGGTTGGAAAAGGGAATGCGGTTTATGGGAAGCACGCGGGTGTTTGCCTTGAGACACAGGGATTCCCGAATGCGATTAACCAGTCGAATTTCCCGTCTGTTGTGGTTAAGGCTGGTGAGAAGTACCAGCACACAATGCTATTTGGGTTTTCAGCATGAGTGGTTTTTAGATGGACGTTTTAGGTGGTTAGATGATGGGAAATTGGGAATAAAGGCCGGCTTATTGGTTCACTGAACCGGAAAGAGGATTTCAATTTATATTTTGTTCGTTTGTGAGGGACTCAAAACAAAGTTATGATATTTTGCAAGATTTTCTAAACCATTGATTGATTATTGGTGAATAAAGCTTCCAAATTTCAACATTGTTTTTGTAAAAACTGATTATGGCCACAAACGAGCACTTAATGGCGGTGAATACCACGCGTCATAGCCGAGAAGAAGCAAAAGCCCATCGCGCGCGTGAAATATCAACCACCCATCTTATCTAATCTCTTTGTTCGCTTTTCTCAAGTGTTTCGGTTCTCACATGTAACCACCGTTACACACAGAACACAGAAATGGCTTCTCTACCGTACGGAGTTTCGAATCTATGCAGCGGACATCAGGAGTTTGTGTCGGGTGCTGTACGGATTCTTCCGATTGGGCTACAAATCACAGGTTCTTTCACAATTCCCCCAATCGTTTTTTCCACAAAAGCCTATTATTCTTTAGCAGAAGCGATGGTAAACACTCTCCTGTGTGTTTGTTGAGATGATGCAGGAGGATCCAGAGCTGCGAAGAAAGCCTTATATAGATTCGAGGGACATGGATTGTCATCATCATCACCATTAGTAGAAAGGAGAGAGAAGCAAAGAATGAGATGTAAAGTGAGCTCGAACTCTACTGAAACTGAAGAAGATTCTGTCGGAAAGACCAAGGTCTGATCTTTATCTCTTCAATTTTACATCATCACCATAGTCTCGATGTCCTGAAGCAAATTCCTGTTGTGTAATAATTTGGTGTTTTAGAAGACGCCGTTTGGATACACGAGAAAAGATGTTCTGTTGATAGGAGTTGGAGTGACGGCACTTGGAATTGGGTTAGAGAGTGGACTTGAGGTAATTCATTATCAAGAAGCTAATCATGAATCATGAATGTATA